GTGTTATGTGGAAACTAATTTGACAATAAACTATTTATAAAAACATATATGTATATATACTTTCCTTTAAAGGATATTATCAAAAAAGTCTCAATAATCCAGTAAAAAAAATAATAAATAAATAAACTTTAAAAAATAGAGATAAGTAAATGTTTATTACATGGTCACTGTTCATATCAGAATGAGGGGAACAAGAGGGTAAAGAACTCACATCATATAGGATCCACAGTATACCTTTATTTTTCTTAGTCTCTTTGCTGTAATTCTCTTGCTGTCCTCCTTTCCTACTTCTGTGAAAATATATATATTTATGTTGCATTTATTAGCTTGAGTAAATTAATATATCGATAGAATGAAGAAAGTCAACAGGTCTTTACGGAGTTCTCATATAGGCCAAGCACCTTGCCAAATGACTTGTGGCCAGAAGAGACCCTAACCTCAAGATGTTCAGAGCTTAAAGGGGAGGAAGATACATAAACAATTGAAATGCACATATGCCAAAGAAAGCACAAGTTATTAAGGGAATGTAAGATAGGAGCACCAGCTCTACCCAGGGAAGTTAGTAAAGCCCTTCCAGGGGAAGTGACACTCCAGCTGGCACTGAAGGGACATAGGAATTTTCTAGATAGATGAGGTGAGGTTAAAGTCATTCTAGGAAGATACAGTAGCTTGTGCAAAGACAGGAAATCATGCAATTATGTGACATATTTGGAGAATAATATATAAATTGTTATGCACTGTATTAAGTTCTATAAGACCAGGAATTCATGCTGTATTCTCAACATCTAGAATACTGCCTGTAGCATAGTAAGCACTAAACAAATATTTGTTGGTTGGATGATTGGATGGATGGATGGAAGGAAGAAGGCATACATGAGGCCAGAGAGATAAGAAAATGTCAGTGATAAAGAGCCTTGTTTAGTAACATTTAGCAAAATGCCTACCATGAAGATTCACACAAGGATAGAGATGTTGTTCACAATCTACTTGGGAAGAAACAACAAATTCCAAAATATCTGTAATATGTTGTAAAAAATGACAGCCATAAAAAGTACACATAAAGTGGTTTGAAGGTTCAGGGGAAGTAGAGGTCCATTTCAGCTGAGAGGATCAGAGAAGTTGTCATTGGAGCTGACTCTTTGGAGTTGGTTATACTTGTGTTCTCAGTTGTTTGATTTTTTTTTTTTTAATGCGTAGACTTGGAGAGAAATTGTGTGGCAGAAGAGGGATGTGAATTTGGGACTAGACAGTCTTGCCTGCTCGGTCATAAATTTATCAGCATTTTATAAGCAGTCATTTATCAGCCTACACCACTTCTTTGGAAGCAGAACCTGACAGACTCCGATGTTATCTGTAGCAGACACCTTTTTCTTGTTTCTGTGGGTGTCTCTGTGTGTGTTTATGGTTATACCTGCACACCAGTGATTTGGAGATCTCTCTTTCTGCAGAGACCAGCACTGTGAAGGGGACACATCAACTGAAACACAAGATAAACTATTAACAATGTCTTTTAAAGATGCACCTTGCTACTTGCACACTTCCATGTATATGCATCCACCTGCTACATGCACACATGCACACACACAGTCCTATAAGCCAGTGATCAGGGCAAGATTTTAGGTGACTGTAAATATGTAGTTCTTATTTTTTGTGTTCCTCAGCTAAATCCTATGTGGTTATACTTTATATTTATTTATTTATGTAGAGCTTGTTAAACATCAGTTATTCCTGTAACCTATTGGATGCTATAAAGAGGTCATGTAAGAAAATAATTACTTAACTAATTAATCCAAGATAGTTATTGATAACCAGTTGTGTGTCAGGCACTATTCAAAACACTGAAGATGCAGCATGGGATTTTTAAAAAAATCATTCTTTGTGTTTACATTTTGGGAGGTAGATAGACATTCAACAGAAATATGGCATTTTAGGTGGTGTAAATACCAGTAAAAGCAATGTTGCAGAGTAAGAGGGAAAGAGAGTGTGAGGATTGAGTGATTAAGAACGGCTGCCCCAGTAATGGGACATTTCAATAGAGACTTGAAGGAAAGGCATCTAGGGGAAGAGCATACTTAGAGCAAAGATCCTGAGGCAGAAGTATGTGGCCAGTGTGGCTAGAGCTGAATGGCCAAGGCAGAGCGTGGCCAGAGACGAAGTACGAGATGTCAGATGGAGAGACAGTTGGCCATTGTGCAGACTTTGGCTTTTACTCTTAGATGGAGAACGTTTGGGGAGTTTGTGCCAAGAACTGACATGATCTTATTTACATCAGCTTCCATGTTGAGCATCAGTTGCAGGATGAAATGGTGGAAGCAGGAGCACTATAGATGGTGGGCTAGGCCCAGTGAGTAACAGTGGAGGTGTGAAGAGACCAGATTGTTGATGTGGTTTGACTTGTTTGAACCAACAGGATTGGTTGTAGATGTGGAATGTGAAAGAAGGGAGTCCTTGATGACCTCAAGATATTTGGTCTGAGCATCTGGAAGGCTGGAGCTGCTATTAACTGAGACGGGAAAGATTGCAGGAAGAACAGGCATGGAGGATGTCAAGAGCTCAGTTTTGAGCACATTGGCTTTAAGATGCTTATTAGGGAAGGGTTGGGTATAAGACTGTGGAGTTCAGTAGATGGATCTAGGCTGAAGAAATATATTTGGGAAATGCAGCAATTAGATGGTCATTAAAGCTGTGAGACTGAATAAAGGGTGTGGGTGAAGAGAGAGGAGAGACAAAGACTGGGAACTGAGCATGGCTGCATTCCAATATTTAGAGGTCAGGGAGACGAGAAGAACAGTCACTGGAGCCTGAAAAAAAAGAGGCTGGGGAGATAGGAGGGAAGTTGAAGGTGAGCCAAGGGAAGAAGGTGCTTCAAAGAGGACAGAATAAACCATTATCAGGTGTTGTTGAGAGATCAAGTAAAACCCAAAAGTTGCTTTAGCAGCCTTGAACACTGAGAACTTTATGTCAGTAGCAGTGATGGGGCAGCCTGATTAGATTACTCTTCACAAAAGAATGGGAAGAGAGGAGACAAAGATCCAGTATTATAGAAAACTGTTTGAGGTTTCACTCTAAAGCAGATCAGAAAACTGGGCCATCACTGAAGGGGAATGTGGCATTAAGTCAAGCTTTACATTTTTTTTCCCCTGATGGGAGATGTTGGCCTCCTGATGGGAATGATCCTAGTAGGGAGGGAAAAATGCAATGATTCCAGAGAATGGGAGAATCATACAGTGGTGTTGGTCCTCTTGTAGGTGAGAGGGGGCACACAAGTGGAAGAACGCTGGCTTTAGATCGGATGAACAGTGCATGCTCCCTAATAACAGGCCACTTTCCTCCAGATGCAGGCAAATCAGCGGATTTCGGTGATAGAGCAGGTGTAAATTGTCTTGATTGCTTCTATTTTCTCATGAAACTAAAGAGTGGCCATGTTGGACATTTAAAGAGGGAGAAGTTCAGAGACTGTTGCCGAATTGCAAGAGAAAATTGTAGACTCGGTAACTGTAGCAGGATTTTGGGGCCTCCTGGGAGCCCACATACAATACAGTAATCCAGTCCTTGGCCATTGTAGTGCTTCAGGATTGTGTACCAAGTGATGTAGGTGCATTTGCATAATGACAACCCTATCAGCTAGGTAGGGCAGGTGGTGGTGATGTTCAGTCTCATTCTACACATGAGGCAAACTCCAAAGTAGTAAATGACTTAATTTGCAGATCACACAGCAAATCAGTGGTTAAGCATAGCCTCAACCCAAGGCTATTACATGTGGCAGCTTTTTACCCCTTTATGTGGTGTCTGCTCACAGATTACTCAGTCTTGTTGAAGAGATGGAATATAGAAGACAGGATAAGAATATATGTAATCAAGTGTTAAATTCTATAGTGTGAAATGATACAAGGAGTTTATTCATTGAGTGATACATATTAAGTACTTAAGATGTGCAAGGCCATGGGCACCTGGGTGGCTCAGTCAGTTAAGCATCCAACTTCAGCTCAGGTCATGATCTCACTGCTGGTGGGTTCAAGCCCTGCATCGGGCTCTGTGCTGACAGCCCAGAACCTGGAGCCTACTTCAGATTCTGTCTCCTCTCTCTCTCTCTGCCCCTCCCCCACTTGCATTCTATCTCTCTCTCAAAAATGAATAAATGTTAAAAACTTTTTTTGAAAAAAAAAGATGTGCAAGGCCTTACTACAAGTACTCAGGCCATTGTAAGGAGCAAGACAGTGAAAAACTTCAAGTTATGTGCTTCAGAGTTTTCAGTTATTATTTTAAATTTTTATTTATTTATGTTAAGATAGTGAGAGCATGAGTGGGGGAGGGGCAGAGAGAAAGGAAGAGAGAATCCCAAGCAGTCTCTGCACTATCAGCACAGAGCCCAACACAGGCCTCTATCTCACAAACTGCGAGATCATGACCTGAGCCAAAATCAAGAGCTGGAACACTTAACCAACTGAGCCACCCAGGCATCCCCTACTTTAGAGAAGTTTTAGAAGGCTTTCTAGGTGATTTTTCCAAGGTTAAAAGCACAATAGACTAAAAATTAGGGAATTGTTTTTCTGCTGCTTGCTGTGTGTGATAATGCCTCCACTCACCATGACTTGGTGGGGTGCCATCCATATACTGAGATGCTGTGGTTTTGCAAGTTCCACCCTGACTAAAGGTACTATGAGTTTGAATCTGTATTCTAGCATAGAGAATAATGGCTCGAAAAGGTTTTAGTCTCCATCTAATTTTTTAATCTAAAAAATTGGAATGCCACATCTCATTTCAGAATGATAAGACCCTGTTTCCATAGTGAAGTGTTGCTCTAACATGCATTCTAAAATCATCCTCCATTTTTTAAACTGTGGTGAAGTATGAAAGAGAAATAAGGGCCTTGTTTAGCCTGCAGGTGCAACAGTCCCCATCCTTAATCTAGTGATTTCCGAGCACCCGTGAGAACCTTTGAACTAACTAATGACTTTGAACTAACTAATTTTCCCCTCTTTTTCCTCCTTCCTCCTCAGGCCTGGAAGAAACGATGGTTTATCCTGCGAAGTGGCCGGATGAGCGGTGACCCAGATGTTCTGGAATACTACAAGAATGATCACTCTAAGAAGCCCTTGAGGATCATCAACCTGAACTTCTGTGAGCAGGTGGATGCAGGCCTGACCTTCAACAAGAAGGAGCTGCAGGATAGTTTTGTGTTTGACATCAAGACCAGCGAGCGCACCTTCTATCTGGTGGCCGAGACGGAGGAGGACATGAATAAGTGGGTCCAGAGCATCTGCCAGATCTGTGGCTTCAATCAGGCTGAGGAGAGCACAGGTAGGAGAGCGAACACAGACCTTCCTCCCAAGGGGCAGGGTGCCTCCTGGAGGAAGCGTAGCAGTTGGGACTAAGATGAAGGCCATCAGATTCCTTGAGCAAGGACAGCACACTGCAGCTTAAAGCTTTCGTCTTGGCAGAGGAGTGAGTAATAGGCAAAGAGGAAAAGTGTGAAGGGTTTGGTCAAATACTAGAGGGACCCCTGGTCCCTCTAATTACATTCTGATGAGAAACCGAGATACGTTGAGGTTATGATGAAGCTACAGGTACTTTGTGGTGTTTCTTCAGGTACCTCAACACCACTCTCTTTCTCAGCCCTGCATCTTTCTTCCCTGTCCCTCAGCTTTCTAACCACTCTGCAGCTCTCTTACCTACCACTTATCCCAGAGGGCAGCGCTCACCTTAATTCTGTTCCACCTTAATTCTGCGTGTTTTGGCCCATCTATTTCAGACCATCTGCACAGCTGCATGTGCCATTTTTTTTTCCCTTTGGATCTGGGGTCCTCTGTGATTACTGTTGATGTATAATCCAATGTTCTTTTATATTCACTTGGGAGGGGATAGGTGAGGGGAGGAAATGCTGACTTATGTTTGGGTTTTGTTGGAATGAAATAACATTCTACATTGTGCAATCTACACATGCATGAATCATTAAAGCATAATACTAAATGAAAGAAGACAAAGCATCACATAGTTTTTTATTCCATTTATATGAAATGTCAGAATAAGCAAATCCATCAAGACAGGAGATAGATTGTGGTTAAAAGTGGGATAATAAGGAGTGCCTGCTAATGAGTATGAGATTTCGTTTAGGGGGATAAAATGTTCTGGAATTTGATAGTGATGATGGTTGTAAAATTTTGTGAATATACTAAAAACTACTGAACTTTGCGCTTTGAAATGGGGAAATTTATGATACATTAATTGTATCTCAGTTTCTTTTTTCAACATTTGATCTTAGCCAAAAGGCCGAGAAGCGATTCAGTTTCTTTTTTCAGGTTCCTCAGATGATTCTGACAGCCAGCCAGCTTTGGGAACCCCCATCTGGACTTAGGGCCAGCTTCATGAGCATGAGACCTATGCTGTCTCACAGGGCCCCACGCTTAACCTTGCACCTCAACACTGTACTGTTACCATTCTGAAGTTCTTCGTTTTTTAATTGTTTAAGGTGTACAGTGTGATGATTTGATACATGTGCATATTGCAAAATGATTACCACAGTAAGGTTAGTTAACACATCTGTTATCTCTCATAGTTAGGATCTGTGTGTGTGTGTGGTCAAAACTTTAAGACCTGTTCTCTTATATATGTTCTCAAATATATGTTACAGTATTATTAACTATAGTCACCATATTGTACATTATATACCCCAAGACTTACTCGTTTTATAACTAGAAGTTTGTACCCTCGATCTTCACCCATTTCCCCTACCTTTGCCCCTGGTAACCACCAACCTACTCTCTGTTTCTGTGAGTTTGTTTTTTTCAGATTCCACATAGTAAGTGAGGTTGTACAGTATTTGTTCTTTCTGATTTATTTCACTTAGCATAATGCCACAAGTTTCATCCATATTGTCACAAATGACAGGATTTACTTATTTCTTATGGCTGAGTAATATTATATATGTGTTTACAAAATTTTCTTTATCCATTCATCCATTAGTGGACACAGGTTGTTTTCATGTCTTGGCTATTCTAAGTAATGCTGCAATGAACATGGGGGTGTAGATATCTCTTCAAGATAGTGATTTCAGTTCCTTCAGATATGCAGAAGTGGAATTGCTGGATCACATGGTAGTTCTATTTTTAATTTTTTGAGAAACCTGCATACTGTTTTCCATAGTGGCTGTACCAATTTATGTTCCCACCAGTAGTCACAAGGGTTCCCTTTTCTCTACATCCTTGCTAACAGTAATATCTTAGTTTTTGATAATAGCCATTAACAGATGTGAGGTGCTCTCTCATTGTGGGTTTTGATTTTATTTGCATTTCCCTGATGATTAATGATGTGCACCTTTTCAGGTAACTGTTGTATATCTTCCCTGGAAAAATATCTATTCAGATTCTATGACCACTTTTTAATTCGGTTATCTGTTCTTATTTTTGTTTTTGCTATTGAGTTATAGGAATTCCTTATGTAATTTAGATATTAACCCCTACAGAGGAGTATGAGCGGGGCGGGGGCAGAGAGAGAGGTAGACACAGAATCCAAAGCAGAATCCAAGCTCTAAGCTGTCAGCACAGAGCCCGATGCAAGGCTCAAACTCACAAACTGCCAGATCATGACCTGAACCTAAATCAGATGCTTAACTGACTGAGCCACCCAGGTGCCCCAAAGCTTTTTAGTTTAATGAAGTTTCATTTGTTTAATTTTGCTTTTTTTATTTGTATTTTTGATGTCATATCCAAAAAACTCATTGCTAAGACCACCATCAAGGAATCTTTTTTCTTTGTTTTCTCTTAGGAGTTTTATGGTTTCAGGTCTTACATTTATTTATTTATCTATCTGCTTATTTATTTAAGCATGCACACAGGAGTGGGGGAGGGGTAGAGAGAGAAAGAGAGAGAATCCCAAGCAGACTTCACACTGTCAGCGCAGAGCCAGATGCAGGCTCGATCCCAAGAACCATGAGATCATGACCTGAACTGAAATCAAGAGTGGGATGCTCAACCAACCGAGCCACCCAGATGCTCCCAGGTCTTACATTTAAACCTTTGATCCATTTTGAGTTAGTTTTTGAGAGTGAAATAAGAGAGGCATCCAGTTTCATTTTTTGCATGTGAATATCCAGTTTTACTAGCACCATTTTTTTGAAGACACTTTCTTTTCCCCACTGAGTATGCTTGGCTCCCTTGTCACATATTAGTTGAACATACCTGTGGGGCTTTCTGTTATGTTCCATTCATCTGTGTGTCTGTTTTTAATGTCATACCATACTGTTTTGATTCCTATAGCTTCATGATACAGGCTGAAATCAGGAAGTGTGATGCCTGCAACTTTGTTCTTCTGTCTCAGAATTGCTTTGACTATTTGGAATCTTTTGGGGTTCCATATGAATTTTAGGATCGTTTTTCTATTGTAAAAAATGACATTGGAACTTTGATAGGAATTTCACTGAATCTGTAAATGGCTGTGGGTAGTGTGGACCTCTTAACAATGTTAGTTTTTCCAATCCACAACATGAGATTATATTTCCATTTATTTGTGTCGAAGTTCTTCACTTTTGAACAAGGAGCCTCATTTTCACTTTGCACCAGACTCTACAAATTATGTAGTCAGTTGTGCCTGGACTAGATGTCCTGTCCTAGGAATTCTGTGATTTTATTCTTCCTTGCAGATTATGAGTCTGCATTTACTCTTAGGATCTTTGGTATAATCTTTGCTTCTTGAATGGAATTTCCTATTTTCCCCAAATTTTTGTCATTTGTAGGCTTCATGAATTTTTGTTTTTCCCTTTATTTTACTCCTGATGAAGGAATAAAAAGCTTATTGGGAAGAAATAAGAGAAAGAGAGAATAAAAAACGAATCAAAAGAACAGGAGGGAGGGGCACCTGGGTGGCTCAGTCAGTTAAGCATCTGACTTCAGCTCAGGTCATGTCTCAGTCCATGAATTCGAGCCCTGCATCAGGCTCTGTGCCAACAGCTCAGAGCTTGAAGCCTGCTTCAGATTCTGTGTCTCCCTCTCTCCCTGCCCCCCCCCCCGTTCGCACTCTGTCTTTCTCTCTCAAAAATAAAATAAAAGCATAATTTTTTTTAAAGAACAGGAGGGAAAAACCATAGACTATCTCTCCAACCCCAGTCTCCAAGCTTCCATAAATATTAGAGACAGGTCCAAAAAATACCTCAACAAAAAAAAAAAGTATGATTGGGGAAGAAAGTAATCAGAAAGCAAACTTTTTTTTTTAAGTTTTTAATTTAATTCCAGTATGGTTAACATACAGTATTATATTAGTTATAGGTGTACAACATAGTGATTCAACAATTCTATACATTACTCAGTGCTCATCCTAATAAGTGTACTCTTTAATCCCAATCACCTATATCACCTACCGCCCCCCACCCCCACCTCCCCTTTGGTAACCCTCTGTTCTCTCTAGTTAGGAGTCTGTTTCTTGATTCCTCCCTTTTTTCCTATGCTCATCTGTTTTGTTTAAGTTCCACTTATGAGTGAAATCATATGGTGTTTGTCTTTCTCCCATAGACTTTTCTCGCTTAGTATAATATACTCTAGATACATCCATGTTGTTGCAAATGGCAAGATTTCATTCTTACACACACAGACCATATATACACATATATATACACACATCCCACATCTACTTTATCCATTCATCTATTGAGGGACACTTGGGCTGCTTCCGTAGTTTGGCTATTGTAAAAATAGGGCTGTATGTATCTCTTTGTATTAATGTTTTTTGTATTTGGGTGGTAAATGCCCAATAGTGCGATTACTGGATTGTAGGATACTTCTCTTTTTAACCTTTTGAGGAACGTCCATACTGGTTTCCACAGGGGCTGTACCAGTTTTCATTTTCATCAACAGTGCACGAGGGTTCCTTTTTCTCCACATCCTCGCCTATACCTGTTGTTTTTTGTGTTTTTTATTTTAGCCATTCCAACAGGTGTGAAGTGATATTTCATTGTGGTTTTGATTTGCATTTCCCTGATGTTGAACATCTTTTCATGTGTCTGCTGCCATCTGGATGTCTTCTTTGGAGAAATATCTGTTCATGTCTTCTGCCCAATTTTTTTTAAGTGTTTGTTTATTTTGAGAAAGAGAGAATATGTGCAAGCAAGCTGGGGAAGGGGTGAGAGAATCCCAAGCAGGCTCTGCACTGTTAGAGCAGAGCCTCACACAGGGTTTGATCTCATAAACTGTGAGATCATGACCTGAACTGAAATCATGAGTCAGACACTTAGCCAGCTGAACCACCCAGGCACCCCCTTCTGCCCATTTTTTAATTGGATTATTTGTTTTTTTGGTGTTGAGTTGTGTCAG